TCCTCTGTATTCTTTTGAAAGAGATGTCCTTTTTAGTAAATGTGAGCAGCCTACTGTTAGTTTTATGTCATTTAGTGATCTTGATAAGATTAGATATTTACTGTCCAATCCACAAGTGTCTTTTACTACGGCCAAAACCTGCTTTCTTGTCTAACGGCAGCGACATGCCCTCTTATACTCTTAACTCGGTTCTGTAAATATGTATTATATATCCTATATTTGTTTAGTTTTGTATTTTATATGCTATATAGTCTCTCATAAGTCTGTAAAGATTGGCGTTTTATTATTTTGTTCTATATTATATACTCACCAGCAAAAGAAATGTCAGTACGAATTCAAACTTAGATAGGCACTGTAATCAAACCATTACAGAAATGGACATAATAAGCGGATCAAAAACATTTTTGGTGTACACTATCCTGACACAATTCCAAGACATTACGTGAACGTTTGCAGTCCATTCAAACTCTTGACATCAGTATCTAGTGTGACCACCAAGAGCGGCAATAACTGCAGCACAGCGTCTATGCATGGAGTGCACCAATCGATTGATGAAGGCCATTGGCACCAGGCCATATGTGTCTGCGAAGGAAAATTCCAAACTGACGTTTCTTTTGCTGCTTAGTATATGTACATATGTATGATGTTGAGGTGAGACTCAAATAAATTATCTGTCTGTCTGTCTGCTTTAACATAGGCTTGCTGTAGTCACAGTTCGAAGCTCTCTTTGTATGTTTGTATCTTTATACATGTTATACAACTTGTTGTTCAATGCTGCTCTCTGCAATATTCTAACTATGTAACACCAGTAGGGCTGGGACGGATACTCGGGTACTCGAATCCGGGTCGGGTACAGCTGGAATCGAGTCATATTTCAAGGAATCGAGTATCCGGAAAGGGAGAGAACTCTGTAATGACAAGGGCAGGTAACTCTAGCCTAGAGCAATATGGACGACGCGCATGCAAAGTTGAGTGTTTGGGCTCATTTTGAGCTTGATGCAAATAGCAAGAAAACCAAATGCCGACTCTGTGGTACCATGCCAATCTACTGCGGAAGCAGTACAAGTTCAATGCACAAACATCTTGCACTAAAACACAACGTAAAACATTAACGTGTTCATTACATTGTGTAACTGTGTTCATTGCTTATCAAGTTAGTTCATTAAAAGCGTTTAAGATTACATTGAATTTTGTCTTTAGTTTCTATTTTATTTCAATTTCATGAAACACAGCTTTTACATTTGCGTCATGACTATTAAAGAGATTGCAATTAAATGATTGTGTGTGTTGGGAAATTCAATTAAAACTAATGAATTAACATATTTAAACGAACGTATACCAGTATTGAAAGAGCACATTCTGATTTGCAAATACAATGTTCAACTGGTTATTATTACAAGAAGAAAGATGATCAGAAATAGAAGCACAAGTCACGTAACTCACATACAATACCATTGCAGTTTCTATACATTTTATAGTTTAACAAATAATAACAAGCATACAGTTATCCCAATGAAGATACGCAATGTTTGCTTAGATGCAAATTTAGAATATTGATTTAATAACAGTTGTGTTTGTAAATTTAAACGTGATAATATAGCATTTAGATACATTTCTTTATCCCTACATTCAAACAAAAGCATTTGAATGCGACATTTATCTTCTGGAAGGATAAAAATTATATCACCATAAATATTTCATATACGGCCAATGAGTTATTCACGGCTCTGTATTAGTCTCTACTCTGTAATGCATGTTAGGCAACCTTTCATGCAACTGAGCAAAATGGCCACTCTTCATAGATGCGAGCCCAGCATTTTGCTATGTTGCCAACTCAGTTGCATTAAAGTTTGCCTGTCTGTATATCTCGTATAGAATTCTCCAGTCAGTAAATATATCAATCACATTTTATTCTATGTAAGTTTACATAAAGTCTGCGTGTAAAAACATTATAGGTTCAGTTAGACTATCACACATGAACGTAGTTGTCTACTGGATGAATGAATAACTGGTCATTTTCATATTTAACGTAACACATATTTTTGGTATTGTCTGGTTAATGGAGGTTATTATAAGCGACGGTAATTTATCTGTGCATGAGCAGTGAGAAGTCAAGACACAGTAAAGCGGGAATGAAAAGTGTTTTAAAAATGTTCTGTGTTTTAAGTAGCAATGTAAGTAATGGTGTTACTCTTTATATTGGTTATAAACACACTTAAGATCCGTTTCAATGCCTCATTGCCATCCTTTCAGGTTTTCTATATAATCTCTGTAAAATCGTGATTGATTTTTCAGAAAGCTGACAGAAGCTATGTATTCCTAACATTTCCGGATACTCGATTCCGAATCGGGTAAGTACGTGTGGGTACTAGATTCCATTTTTTTCCTACCCGTCCAAGCCCTAAACACCAGACTATCCAGTGACTGACATCATTAGCATCGAGGTAAGTATTTTTGACACAAATCATGCATTAAGCTAGTCAGCGAGTCTGAACACCACCCCCCTGACAACCACCTTTTACACCAAGCATGGGTTTGCTGAACACCAGTTGTAACCTGGATCTTCAAAGAGATTAAAGGCTGACAAGAACATTCATGAAGGAGTCTCTCAAGTCCTACTAAATCAGGTTGAATGGGGAAAGTCTCCTACTTCTTGTTGTCTGACCATGACCTTGTTGACTGCCTAGAGAATACACATGGCTTACTTGACCTTTACCAAAGCGAAAGAGATAGAGCGGTGTGAGAGAAAAAGAAAGTGAGAGAGATAGAGGGGTGAGAGAGAGAGAGGGAGGGAGGGAGAGAGAGAAAACGAAAGTGAGAGAGACGGGGGAGAGAGAAAGAAAAAAAGTGAAAGAGATAGAGGGGTGAGAGTGAGGAATAGAGAAAGAAAGTGAGAGCGAGGGAGGGAGAGGGAGAGAAAGAAAGTGAGAGATAGAGGGGTGGGGAGAGAAGAGGGAGAGAAGAAAGTGAGAGATAGAGGGGTGAGAGAGAGGAGGGAGAGAGAAAAGGTGAATGAGAGAGATAGAAGGATGAAAGAGGGAGAGAGGGAGAAAGGAGAGGGAGAGAGAGGAGAGAGAGAGAGAGAGGAGAGAGAGGGAGGAAGAGAGAGAGAGGGAGAGAGAGGAGGAAGAGAGAGGAGACAGGGAGAGAGAGAGGGAGAGAGAGGGAGAGAGAGGGAGGAAGAGAGACAGTCAGTTTACTTTCAATCACAATATCTGCATCAGTTGTTACTATTTGTTTATGCTAGTACCGGGTAATGTAACTGGGCCGTGCAGCATCATCACATGTCACAGATACAGAAATTGTTTGGCTGGTAATTTGTTTACAAACTTCAAAAGAGCTAAAAATGAAAATTGGAAAAAACATTAACCTTTGCCCAAATAACAGATTGGTGGGGAGGAATGAAAATATACTGCATAAATAACTGATAAGAAGAACTCTAACATAAAAACGTGCACTAGTTCTGTGATTCCAAAACACATCATGTATAAAACAGGACCATGAAAACCTGTGGACATTGATCGTTGTTTGATACAACACTTTTCAATATTTCCTCTATAACAATATTTGTAAAAATTTCAAATCCATAAACATTCAATCATTATTTTTCATATTATCATTAGACTCAACTTCAGGAAAAGGACAAACAGCGAGTTGCTGTCACTATCAGACAATCACCTTGTTTGTTGTGGACAGCTGTCAATAAGGGAGCATTTCAAAAGTTAAAAGTTGGATATTAATAAAAATAATACAATAGTTAAAACAGTTTTTAGTTCTACTTGTTGTGGAATCTGGAGAATTATGTGTAAAAATCAGTTTAATTACAGTCCGTTTGATTTCATATGAGAACAATGAATTGCTCACTAACCCAAAATCTAATAATTGCAACCAAACCAGTGAATCCGCCCCTGTACTGCTCCCTAACTCTCCTGGCTTCTGCAAGGTTCTGTCTTCAGATATTTGGCTAAAATTACAGACTGTGTTATAATTAACATAAACTAAATTCAATCATCAGGAATTAAGATCTTTCAAACTTTTGAACTGCTCCCTACCTCTGTCCGATTCCTGCAAGTCCCAAACACACAGCTGGTCTGCTAGACAGTCACACATTCCCTTCATATCTGTCCAGGCCAACACAACGTGACCGCCGTGTGAAACTGATAAGATATTGCATAACTCATTTCTGTGGTACTATCAATCTTCAGTTCATTGAGTAACGCCTGGTAATATATGTTCGCCATTGTAGCAGCAATTTTGCAATGTTGAGCTACTTAAAACCTTTTCTTTTAGTGTTGTTTTCATGGGAAATTAGTCTTTCAAATATCATACTACTAAACACTATTCAATAACAGCTGAGTTCAATTTTTAAACGTTCAGTCATTTTATTATTAGACAAAGAACATTTGCAATCTTACCTACACATATTCAAAACCTGTGAGATACATATTACAAGTGGACAAATTTATAAAAGAATTATTTGCATAAACAGTAATTATGATTGTGTAGTTTTCCATGGCATAGACATTGGTTGAACAAATTTAAACTTTCATTTTATTAAATACATTTAGAAAATTGCATTTTAGTCATCCATACTCTACTACAAGCATGGCTAACTCCAAAAAATACACACAGACCCATTGGATGACCAGCGAGGAACCTGGGCGTTAGCCACCGCCTACAGCTCACGAGAGTTCTTCAACATGGGCGATCTTTGAGGCCGGTACACAGTAATGGCATCGCAACACAAAACACCCTACAACTCTCAGCCTTCAATCTAAAAGATCGACCGATAGACATTTCAAGCACAGTATATCGCGATCTTTATGTACGAGGCCTCAGAATATCAACTTAAGTTACACGATATGCGGTTTACACGTGTTAGTATTACACATTTGTAACAGTTACATTCGTTGGCTTGTTTGGTGACTTTCTGAAGATGCGAATATTGCCCCAAACACCCATATCCTGCCATGGCATGGTCCTAGCACCTAAGTACTTACATGTCTGAAGTTAGTCAGCTGGAAGTGACAGAAATCAACACGCTGTGTCTTTGATAACGAATGCGTTGTCGTTCGAACACAAGCAGATGACGAGCGGTTGCGAGACCTTGGAGGTGTGTGGGAGAGCACCAATCAATGTGCGCATTTTCCTTCGTCCCAGGGTGAAGGTCGTTTAGTATGTTTTGCATCCGTGCCAAATACTGACGTCATATAAAGGATAGCGTTTACAGTTGTTGCAGAAAAACATAACGGTTTACTGCATGTATACGCATGCACGGGCACACAAAGGTAAGTAGGTGTTTTTACTTCTTTTAAGGATTAACAGGAGTGTTTCAAGAAACATGATTATGCTCGACTGATCTTATTAGACTCAAACATTTCACCAAATATGAATGGGGACCGGATTGATTGATTGATTGATTGATTGATTGATTGATTTAATTATATGCCTATGTATAAAAGTGAATGCGACCCAAATTAAATGTTTTTATTATCTCGAGTTATGAAGTCATGTGACTGAGACCATGAACTTTGATTTCTCCTTTCAGTACAATGCTACTTGAACGGAATCGAGCGTTTTATGAAATTCCGGAACACAAATAAAATATACATTTAAAAAGAATTTCTTAAATGTGCTTCACAATGACATGTAAAATTAGGTTCAGTGGGGAAAAAACAACATAAGAAATCTCAAATTTATCTATTTACCTATTATATTTAACTTGATCGTTCACTGGCTGAGCGTTCAAGCACAACCGTTTCAAACTTTTACAGCTTAAAATAACAAATATAATAAGACTGCAAGAGTGAGTGAGTTTAGTTTTTCGCCGCACTCAGCAATATTCCAGATATATGGTGGCGGTCTGTACATAATCGAGTCTGGACCAGACAATCCAGTGATCAACAGCATGAGCATCGATCTACACAATTGGGATACGATGACATGTGTCAACCAAGTCAGCGAGCCTGACCACCCGACCCCGTTAGTCGCCTCTTACGACAAGCATGAGTTACTGAAGATCAATTCTAACCTGGATCTTCACTGGTCAAGACTGCAAGAAAATGTCTTGGAATGAAAATTAGAAGCAGAACTCACGACTGTCACGTGCAGTGACAATGACTGGAAAAGTTCAAATTTTAGTCATCATTATGTTGTACATAAGTTTGTCGACTTAGCTGAAGAGCGAAATTGCCAAGACTGTTTGCTGCCAGTCGCAACATCAACTTGAGATGTCTGGAAGCTGCCGTCCGAGTCTACAGCTACACGTCATTGCAATAGGGCACCCAAGCATTGCATCAGAGCATCGATCATGTCTACTCAACACGTGACTATCACCATATTTAGCTGCATTTTTTTATAAAAAATAAATAATGCATCCACATTTAATTGAAAACAGTAAAACTTTAAAAAGTTTGCCTATGTTTTTGTTTGTTTTTAAATTTATTTATTTTGTGTTATTTTATTATATTTTATCTCTGAAGACTGTCGCAACTACGGCTGACGGGAAATATGAATCACTGTATGCACATCATAGCAGATTTTCCATTATAATTACGGTAATAATTTCAGTAATTCCATTCACATAATTTTGGTTTTTAAGAATAATAATAATTGCATTTATAGAGCGCATCATTCACTTATAAATGTTCTGTGCGCTTTAGATGGAAATTGACACTTGAAAAGAAATGTTTTGAGGCCAGTCTTAAAAGATGTTAGTGACTCGCTGGTTCTGAGTTCAAGCAGTAGCGCGTTCCACTTCACTGCTGCATTGAAAGCGAACGACCTTTTGCCAAAGTTGGTTTTGATGTTTGGCACTGTCACTAGCATTTGGTTTTGTGATCTCAGTGAGCGTGAGGGCTGATACAGGGGCAGTAACTCTGCGAGGTAGTCAGGGGCCATTCCGTTTTTAGCTTTTGTTGCCGCTGCTGCTGACGATGATGATGATTCATCTATGATTTATTATTTTCCTATTTTTCCTGCCGCGAATAAGAGAACATGAGTTTATCTGTAGTGCATGTATGTATACTACCGATCAAAAGTTTAGACTAACTAGTGTAAATATAGCCACTTACTTCAGGCAACTGTCCTGAACTAGATTTTGCAAAATATTCCATACCGTACTGTTTACACATGAACTGATGTATTGTAGAACAAACTCGTAACGTTGAAAAGATTATTGTCATGAGTTCAATAAATGATGAAACTCAGTGAAAATTGGCGAATTCTTAACAAAACTTTACACCACATTCAGTGGGATGCGTAATAGGATATCCAGAAAAGCATGTTTACTCGTAAAATCGGGCAAAACTTAGAAAAAATACGAATAGCTGCTGAAAAGAATAGATCAGACTATAGATGGCAATTAGATCGCTCAGCCAGGTATGACGACGGACCGTCGACTCACCTGGCATGAAATGCATGTGCTGCCTGCAGGCGCCCAAGGGGTCATCTCAAAGATATTTTGTGCTTTTTCATGTGTGTTAACTATGCCTCATCTATTGATTAACAGCTTAAGTGTCTTTCTTTCATAAAGTTTATGTTGAGATATGTAAAAGAGTTTGATACCTGATAACCATAGAAACGCATCGTATTAAATGTCTCAAAATATATAGGTGGCATGACCACCCGATCGCGAAGATCGACAGGGCTGGCTATTATTTGTAAATTGTTATGAAATGCCGTGTACTTCCCCAGTATAATTGCCCTAAAGGATTATCGTATCTTAGCTGATATCTCTATCCCCAAGCCCGACCCCAACGATCGTCTGCGACACCCGTCCAGGTTTTGCTATTGAGACGAACCCTCCTATCTGTTTCTTTTTATAGTGACAGTGAGACTCCATGGTAGCTACATCCTTAATAGTTTCAGCATGAAAGTTATTATTTTTTACGCCAGCTATCGTTTATAATGAAGCTACGTCTAATTTCAAATTGGTCTCTTAAAAAGTGTCCTTTATAATACAATATCGTCGCACACTAGTTTGCATACAGCCATGGTCTGTTCCAAATTATTCGTTTTGGACTTAGAAAAAATCGCATTGCTCATTTCTGCACTAATCTCTCCTCAGTAAAGTCCTTTTTCTACGTTTCTTGTGTCCCTACCATTGAGACTGTAGTTAGGCCGAACTTAGTTTAAAGGATATTTCACACTTGCACATATCAACTACATAAATTGTAGAGATAAATGAGAAAATACAGTTTTTTTTATTTCCGACAGTACTATAGTTTGGTATTTCATATCTATGGCATATATACGCAGACAGATGTCTAGCATACATAATACATATACAAGCCTAATGTCTCATGCAGTCACAGCTGTTCCAGTGATTTTTATCTGGTGATCTATTAATGTCGCAGTGTAATTGCACATGTACCACAGAAAATACCACCCTATTTATCCTTGTCAGGAAGAGGAGACCCTTGAAGATCGGGCTTAGAATTGGTTTCAGTAACCCATGCTTGCCGTAAGAAGTGATTAACGGGATCGGGTGGTCAGGCTTGCTGACTTGGTTGACCCACGTCATCGTATCCCAATTGCGTAAATCGATGCTAATGCTGTTGATCACTGTATTGTCTGGTCCGGACTGAATTATTTACAGACCGCCGCCGCAACAGTGCTGAGTGCGGCGTTAAACAAAAAACAAACCATATCAGGAGGAAGACACCGAGAGTTTTCGAAATGAGATATGGATGTATTTTTTCTATTGCTAAATACTTTTTCTTTTCTTTTTTAATAACGCCGCACTCAGCAATATTTCAGCTATATGGCGGCGGTCTGTAAGTAATTGAGTCTGGGCCAGATATTCAAAAGTGATCAACAGCATGAGCATCGATCTGCGCAACTGATGATGGTCAACCAAGTCAGCCAGCCTGACCACCCGATCCTGTTAGTCGCCTTTTACAACAAGCAGGTTACTGAAAATCAATTCTAACCCGGATCTTCCTTCACCCGATCAGCCTGTTAGAGGTTTCCATTTTTATCTTCTTTTATCGGGGTTTGGGTAAATTTACTGCAGATCCCCATGCATCATCCATAATGCATGAACAGGCTTCATCGTTAAGCTACAGGCATAGTAAATATGTGAAGCCATTCATAGTTGCATGTAGCTAAATTTACTGCAGATCCCCATGCATCATCCATAATGCATGAACAGGCTTCATCGTTAAGCTACATGCATAGTAAATATGTGAAGCCATTCATAGTCGCATGTAGCTAAATTTACTGCAGATCCCCACGCATCATCCATAATGCATGAACAGGCTTCATCGTTAAGCTACATGCATAGTAAATATGTGAAGCCATTCATAGTCGCATGTAGCTAAATTTACTGCAGATCCCCATGCATCATCCATAATGCATGAACAAGCTTCATCGTTAAGCTACAGGCATATTAAATATGTGAGGCCATTCATAGTCGCATGTAGCTACATTTACTGCAGATCCCCATGCATCATCCATAATGCATGAACAAGCTTCATCGTTAAGCTACAGGCATAGTAAATATGTGAGGCCATTCATAGTCGCATGTAGCTACATTTACTGCAGATCCCCATGCATCATCCATAATGCATGAACAAGCTTCATCGTAAGCTACAGGCATATTAAATATGTGAGGCCATTCATAGTCGCATGTAGCTAAATTTACTGCAGATCCCCATGCATCATCCATAATGCATGAACAAGCTTCATCGTTAAGCTACAGGCATATTAAATATGTGAGGCCATTCATAGTCGCATGTAGCTACATTTACTGCAGATCCCCATGCATCATCCATAATGCATGAACAAGCTTCATCGTTAAGCTACAGGCATAGTAAATATGTGAGGCCATTCATAGTCGCATGTAGCTACATTTACTGCAGATCCCCATGCATCATCCATAATGCATGAACAAGCTTCATCGTCGTAAGCTACAGGCATATTAAATATGTGAGGCCATTCATAGTCGCATGTAGCTAAATTTACTGCAGATCTCCATGCATCATCCATAATGCATGAACAAGCTTCATCGTTAAGCTAAGGCATATTAAATATGTGAGGCATTCATAGTCGCATGTAGCTAAATTTACTGCAGATCCCCATGCATCATCAATAATGCATGAACAAGCTTCATCGTTAAGCTACAGGCATATTAAATATGTGAGGCCATTCATAGT